CGCGAATAACTCGAATAACTAATGGTGCATTTTATCAAAAAATTGTAGAGAACAAATTTGTAGCTTTTAAAAAGACAAATACAATTCATTTTTTAAAATGTTTTTGCGATATAATAGGAACCGAAATACGGCCTATCAATGTTCAGCGGTTTTCTTCAAATGCCAAATTTAAAAGATTCAAAGTCAAATATCGGGAAAATGATGCATTTTTAGAAGAAAACTCACGCAACCTTTTTTAAAGAGCATAAATAGATCTATCATAAAAAAAAGACTCTAGCTTAAAAATTGAGTGAGTTATGATGAAAATAAGGCCAATACCTCATTTTTTACGAAAAAATCGATGAAAACAACCCCCTAACCACTCCCATAATTAAAATCGATCTTCAACCTTCTGCAATTCTCTTTGTACATGTATTTTTAATACGTCCAAGAAGTTTGACCCATTTAAAATGCGTAGTTTTAGAAAAAGTACAGCTTAAAGCGAGAAACGATTTACAATTTCATATTTTTTACCCTTCTTTTTTTAAATATCCCCGAAAATACTGAAAATATGAAAGAAATAAAATATACTTAATTGTACCTTTTTTAATGACTAAAATTTTCCTTTATTTAGATTTGTTGTACAATAAATATTTGGCGAGATATAGCCGTTTAAAGCATCGATTTACGATCAAGCACCATCTTTTTCGAGCCCTTTAAACTCACCCAATTTAAAAACCAAGGGTTCCAAAGAGATTTAATTCACAGATCCTTGTAGCTCTTAAAAACCTCTACAAAATCGTTTTTGATGAAACACTCTATCGTTCAAAATGAAGGAAATACGTTAAAAAAACAATTAATTTTTTTTTCGGAAAATTCCATTAGTATAGTACAGTACATTTTGGAGCATAATAATCTACAAAACCGGTATATAAGGTAGTGGGGCGTTATACATTCGAAATTTTAAGCGTTCTTATTTTGAAATCCCATACAACAGAATAAAACATTTGCTCATATGTTTATGGCTTGGCAATGAAAATATCAGAGCAACAGACTGGGGATGGTATTCCAAAGATGGTTTGTTATTACCCGTACGCATGAACAAACAACCTGCACCCGATGAACTTTTGAAAATTATTTTTTGCCAATCCAAAAAAGGATGCGGCGTTTCATGTGGGTGCAGAAAAGTTGGTTTATACTTTAACTTTACTTGTTCTGGTTGCTCAGGTAAAGGGTGCAATAATAGTCCACCAATAATTGGAGAAGATGAGGATGACATAGATCACGATGAAGATGTAATTGATGACGAATAAAATTAATATTATAATTGTTTTACCTATAAATGTAAATATTTTCAACTATTTATGTAAATGTATAAGAATATATGGTGCCTTTTTATGTTGATAAATTTTTTTGTATCTAATTCTACTTTTTTCAATTTATATCTATTAAATTAGTTTTTAAACTGCACCCTTTACAACTGCAATGTTCTAAAGGGTGATTTTCAAAAGTAGAAAAGTTGCAAAATTTTGGCAAAAAATTGTTTTTACCTATAGCACTCATAACAATTGATTTTTAAGGGTTGAAAATGTATGAAATTGTATTTTAAAGTATAAAAAAATCACCATTCAACTAATCCAAACCAAATTTGTAATTTGGTTTGGATTAGTTTGGATAAGATTTGTAATGTCATTTTACAATTTTTGAAAATTAGGAGTAGTTTTCACCCCTAAGAACAATCAGAGTTCGTCTACATGACATAAACTATAAAGCAGCGGGTGAATTGAGCTTAAATCCAAATTTTTATCCAAATCGATCCAAGGCGAAATAATTTTTTTAGAATTAGTAATTTTTTTACATTAATCTCTAACAAGGGTTGTTTTTTAAGGGTTGAAATATGATGAAACTCTATTCAAAAGTATAAAATAATCATTATTTAACTAATTCAAACCAAATCTTGCCCATATTCAGGTTTAATATGTTATTTTATAATTTTTGACAATTAGGGGTAGTTTTCACTCCTAAAACCATTCAGCGCACTTCGGTTCGATATAGATTTTGATCCTTGGGCTATCACCTACCTTCTGTTAAAATTTCAACTCAATTCATGCAGGACGAAAAAATTGCGAGGTTTTAACTTTTTTCGAGCTTCATTTCCTGAACTATTAAAAACTTCCTTAGACAAGCAACATTGTTACACAAACAACATTGTTGCGAGACAGATAGTTGAACGATATTTTATACAATGTCTATACCCAGGCATGGATTTATTTGTGTCCAAGTTTTATATTGGTCCACTATTTCAAATGCAGTTCAAACAGACATATATTAAATTGTATGTTCCGTTTTAAATTCGTTCTATCTGTATATCTTCCTTGGTCGGCAATACTCTCTTCGTACGTCTGTTTTTCTTGTTTAGGTTTTTTCTTGTGTTTTTTTTGTAACAAGAAAAACACCATGTATGCTAAACATAAAAAATATATTTTTTCTAAATGAGCACATAATATGTTTAACTGAGTCCAAATATTTTATTTCAGCGTATAAATCTAGCAGAAGCGTTCGATGTAGAGAAAAGTTACCTCATACTTGGAGGTTTCTATCCAATTGAAGATGTGTCCAAAAGAAGCAGGATGTACTATTATATGAGGGGAACCTTTTTCTTTACATATTCATGGGTTGAATGGATTTTAATCCTAGTATATCTGTACACAAAATTATCTGATGTCGTTAAACTATCAGATACACTTCTGTTCTGTATGACTCAATCAGCATTTATGTGCAAATTGGTCAACTTTATAATTATGAAAAAATATTTGTTAGTTATTGAGAAGGGTCTTGAAAATCCTTTGTTGGCTTCTGTTGATGAGGTTGAAGAGAAATTAATAGCTGATTATGTGAATGGTATTAAAATACTTGCGAAAGTATTTAGATTCTTAATTTTTCTCGCTGTTATATTCTTCGGCCTCTATCCTATATTAGACCACAAACCTGGTGAAATTAAAGATCTACCATTACCAATTTGGGTTCCTATTGATACTGAAAAATATTATGTTTACACTTGGTTTTTAGTTCTAAGCGGTCTTTCAATTGGTGCATGGACTAACTCAAACATCGATATTTTAAACATAATGTTGATAACTTTAGCGACAGCTCTGACAGAGATATTAAAAAGACGACTAAAAAATAGTATCACAACTACTGTAGATGGTAATGAAGAAATTGACGAAATATCATCCAAACAGAAAATCAGAGCATGCATACATTATTACAATGCAATTATTAGGTCTGTATCAATGAATAATTTTTCTGATATTTTATTAAAAAAAAAAAAAAAAGTTTGAGTTTCCAGCTGTTCTCCGTGTGTAGAGGTTTACTCCACGGCTCTGGAGCTCACTTCAGCAATGTATGTTACCTGAAGTCATATTTAATTTAATACTGAACATCACAGTTTTTTAACAACAAGATGTATAATCTTTTACAACTATATGTAATTTAAAGGGTT